TTGCTGCTTATACCATTGGACTTGAATAATAATAATCCTTCCTTCTTCATTTTTTTTCTTTGTTATTTTAGATGAATAAAATGGCACAAAGATAGTTGCTTCATCCATTAAATCCTCCCTTCACATCCAAATATACCAATCCAGTATATCCAACCTTGGAATCTTTGTGCTCCCACAAAAAAAAAAAAAAAAAAAAAAAAAAGAAGCCCATAGAATCTTCGCATTATCAAAATGAATTACATAACTAAGAATATTCCATGTCCATTTCCCCTTCAATGAAAGGCATCCTTTCCCTATTATACACATTTTGGACATCCCAACATTGCGGCCACAAGGGTAAAGGGAAATCCCATGAGGAAGCATTCAGAGAAAAGACGAAACTTACAATGGATTTTTCTGCTTAGTTTAGTGAGCCAAGAAAGTGGAACTTTTCAACATCATCATCAGCTTTTTTACAAAGCATATACTCATCATACAAAAATTTGATCACGCTATAGATTCTTTGTAGAGTTAATTACATTGAAACCCTTTATGCATTGGGGTATTATTACTTTACCCTCTTGAGTTTCAAAAATATACACTTCACCCTTTGGAAAGACCAATCAAACAACTCGACTACTAAGTCCTTTAGAAAAAGAGAACAAAATGAGATAATTGCCCTTGAATTACTATTACAATTTACAAGCTTTGCTTTATCTTGGTAACTAGCTGTTGGCCAATTGTTTCATCTCTTCTTATTATGCTTTCTGCAAACTTTTTCATGTTTAAATCTCGCCCTTCACTTTTATTTTAAGGTTATATTATCCTAAGGTGCTATTAAATACATAGATTTTGTCAATTTTCATGAATGATATGTCATAGATCGGACAAACCTTTTAAGCGAAAAGATAAAGAACAATTTGGACACTAAATGATCCACAATTAGAGGAAAAAAAACTAGCATAATTCTTGTACACAATATGAAAAGTAAAATTCAAGTACAGTATAAAAGGTATCCTGCGAAATTAGAACAAAAAATTTCAAAAATATGAGACCAGCACTTTAGAAAATTAAGCATCATTTCTTTTATTCTAAATTTCTCTTTGAATGGAACCTAAATCTTTAAGAGGTGGATCCAAAGTTTCAATTAGACTAATGGCGCAACAGGAAATTTTGATTTAGTATTAGAAAAGCAACATGAACTTAGGAGGCTTTTTTTAATTTATCTTTTAATAGATAAGTTATTCCAAATTGAAAACATATGTTGATGTGTGAAACAAAGACTTCAATTAACTTTGCCTATGATTTGCAAGGAAATTCATAAATACATAAATAACAGTCTAAAAATTACCTATTGTTTAAATTCAGCAAATGAAACATATTATGGCCAAAGATACTTTCGGCAATATACCTGCCTGGAATTAAGAGTTCAAACCTCGCAAGATGGGGGGGGCACACACATTGCATATTTTTAAAATCTAAGGTAGTAAAGTATGACTATCCCCAAAATAGAGGGCCCTAAAGCGAAATTGAGTTCGTATATGAGTACTATTTATTAGTATTTGCAAATTGTCAAGTACTAACTTTTGCGTTGTCAAAAGGTGGGTAAGGCGTGTGGTGGATGTGCGCCTAGTGTGTGAACCGTTTGAAGTTTTCTGTGCCGTTCTTGAACCAACTTTGGCCGTACCTCAATTGGACCTATCCGCGCCGTTAGCAGGAGACCATAGTAGTTTTTTTCATCACGATACCAAACCATAGATTTCAGCATGAAGAATATAGCATAGAATAGTTAAAAAGCTAAATCCAAAAGCAGCAATTTATGCTCATTTCCAGTAATGCTATAAAATAGGACTCCTCAAATAAGAATATTCCAATTCTTTTAAGCATGTGAGATTCACTAAAACTCATGTATTCTATGCCTTTTAATGTTCCTATCAATCTGAATCTCAAAGGGGAAAAATGGGATGGGATAAAAACAATTTAATATCAAAATAAAGACACAAAAAAAGGAAAGAATAAATAAAGTGCAATACTTATCTTCTCTCATATTTTTTTCTTTTGTTTAAAAGTGGCGAAACCTCATATTGCTTGGATGAAGGATAATAGGGATGAGACAAACAAGAAAAGCAAAGAGGAAAACTTTCTAAACTTGAGAACGCAAACTTTCACTTTTATGGAATCGGGGCATTCCATCTTAATGTGGAAACAAAACTAAACAGCCAGGACTTCTTCTTTCTTCCTACATGGTACTACCTAAGAAGCACCATGACAATATATGTATATATATATATACCATTAACTTCATTTCTTCTTGTCTTGCTCTCATCAATTTCTTGTTTCTTTCTCATAAAGAGAAAATATTTCTTGGGTTTTTTTGGTCCTTTTCACGAAAAACTAGTGCAATAAATGGCTGGAGAACAAGAGAAATTATTGCTGGATGAACACAAGGAGAACCATTTCACAGCTGGAGAAATTGTTCGTGACATGATTATTGGTGTTTCTGATGGCCTAACAGTCCCTTTTGCTCTGGCTGCTGGATTGTCTGGTGCTAATGCCTCATCATCCATCATTCTCACTGCTGGTATTGCTGAGGTTGCTGCTGGAGCCATTTCCATGGGACTTGGAGGGTGATTTCTATTTGCTTTTTCGATTCTTGATTTTTTTTCCACATCTAATTTCCTCACAAAATAAAGTTTGGTCCAAATATTTTTTTTTTTGAATGGATTTTTACTCTTAATCAACCAACGATATTTACTGTCTCCATTTCATGGATAAATCAACAATGCAGAAGCAGCAGAGGTCGCAGAGATATTGTCCAGGTATGGAATTGAGCCCCATGAATATAAGCCAGTGGTGAACGCTCTGAGGAAGAACCCACAAGCCTGGCTTGATTTCATGATGAAGTAAGTTTAACTTTGACATGCATGACATAAAAGCGCCACATGTTACAAGGATAACCACCAAAAAAAAAATCATCAATTTCTCATATATTTTTGTCAGAATTTTTTACAAGATAAAAAAGAAACAAATTTGTTCATGAAATGTTACAGGGCTAACATTTTCCTACAAGTAGAATGAATCCATAATGTGACAAAATAAATAAATAAATAGAGTCCAATGTGATTTGCATAAACCAAACCGCAGATCAAAAATTGAGACTAACACCAAAACAATTTTCTTGACAATTTCTCAAATATAAGAGGATTCGAATGGTGCATGTCACAACTATAGGGAATAATTTACTTTAACTTTGCAATTTAAGAACTAAAATGTTTTTTGGTTTTGTTGTTATTTAGTGGCAATCAACTCTATTCTTCCTGAGTATAACAATTCCGAGAAACAATTTGTTTGAAAGAGCAACAAAGAAACTAAGTAGAACCTAGTCCATTAATGTCCCTTTCTGTTTCACCACTAGATAAGTTTCTTGAATTGACTAGGTTAAGGATTTTGTTTTTGTTTTTGTTTTTGTTTTTTTTTGGGGTCAAATGGAGGTCGATATACTCGAAACCATATTATATAGAGACATTTTGGAGGTATGGTAACCACCCATATTAGGCACCAAGACTGAGTTTGAGAAAACACAATAGTTTTACTTTTTAATGAGGTGAATTAACCATTTAGAGTAACAAACACTTGTCTAAACAGAAGTATGACTTTCCTAAGCACGGGTACACTTTTTTCTTTAAGGGTATTATTTCTGCGTTCAAGATTCTTGCTTTTATTCTCCAAGAATTTGATTGGCGTTTTACGAGTCAAGCTATTAAAATTTCAAGCAAAATGCAGATTTGAACTCGGATTGGAGAAGCCAGATCCAAGAAGAGCACTGCAAAGCGCATTTACCATTGCTATTTCCTACGTTGTTGGTGGAATTGTCCCTCTTATTCCTTACATTTTCATCCCAGTTGCAAGCAAGGCCGTTTTGGCATCTGTTGCCATAACATTAATAGCCTTATTTGTCTTTGGGTTTGCTAAGGGCTACTTTACTGGAAATAATCCCATCAAAAGTGCTCTGCAAACCGCTTTGATTGGAGCTGTTGCATCTGCTGCTGCTTTTGGCATGGCCAAAGCTGTTCAAGGATAGCCATCTCCTTATCCTTGTGTAGAACTGTAGCCTAGTTTGAAGAATAACATATATGTTACTTGTTTATTTTCAAGAATTTGATAAATCTGTTATGAGCTTTTCCTTCAATCATTAACAAAATCCAACAGGTTTGTTATGGAGCTTAAACGCATAAACCTCCGCAGGATTGATCGGTAATGCAGTATAGGGTTGCAAATGAAACGAGCCGTTTATGAATCGATCGCGATCGGCTTGAGTCCGAGCTCAAATCGAATTCAAACTGATCAAGTCGAACTCGAGTTCAAAAATTTTAAATTCGTTAGATTGCGAGTTAACTCAAATTCGGTTATATATATTTTTTAATAGTAAAATTACATATATATTCTTAAAATTTTATTATTTGTTAAGAAAAATTATTATTTTATTTATTTTTAAAAATAAAATAATTATTTTTTAATTTTTTTTAAGCTCGAACTCGAGCTTGACTCAAATTTAAGTCAAAGTCAAGCTCGAGATTGACATTTTAACCTCGTTGAACTCGAGCTCGAGTTCGAGTTTTGTAAAATTATGTTGAAACTCGACTTAATTAGATCGAAACTCGGATCATTTGCACTGCTGTCTAATGGTTTAGATTTAAGACTCTTCAAGTCCCAAGGATTTTGGTAGAAGTTTATTGCCGCATTTCCTCTCCTCCCAGCTCAGAACCATAATCGAAAGAATACAAATCTTGATCCTGCTACATTAACGTGCAAAACCACAGGACCTGTAAACGAAGCATTTTTAGCAGTGCACTTGACACCCAACAGCGTGCATCATGTTTAGACTGGAAAATTTTATATGACAAAGCTACCCAAGTAATTTGCTGCAAAAGCAAGCAGAAAGATTAGATTCTGTAAATTTTCAGAAACGAAAATGGTCGTTTCTGAAATGATGTATAACAGCTTATACCAAGTAGGCCATATTTAACAAAACACACTTAATTTTTCTTTGACAATACCCAGCAATAAAGGATGATAAACCAGAATCTTATGTGGTATTAAGAAAAGGAAAAGCAAAATTAGCCGTAAATCTCAATTGATTTATACAGCATTAGCATATAGCGAATAATAACATTTGCAGCGGGCTTCAGGAATTCAGAGAGCCCATTTACACAGTCAAAAAGTCCAAGCTTTCAAGGTTATCCAGTTGATTGCGTATTCCTGTTGTATCAACCCATCTATTCTGATTCGATCCATCCTTCGGACTTTTGAGTTTATTAGATTCCTGTGCCTGGAATGCTGACTCTATGTCCATTCCAGTATCTAGATAAACTTCAGAATCAGGCTCATCAGTGTCTTTAGACTCTGCAAGTGGACATGATAAAAGGAGTTGGTCCATCAGAAAGTCACCACCAGGTGAATCCGGAAGAACAAGAGGTCCATGGTTTTCCAGAGAAAGCATCTTCTCATCCAACGGTAATGGTGTGAAATCCACACTCAAGAGGAGATCTCTTATTTCATCAGAAAGATCGAGCTCCACTGGTTTTTCTGAACTAGAACTTGGGGCGATGCAGGGAGGCTCTGAAGGCTCATTTGCAGGAAGCTGATACCTTATGATTGCTCCATCAGAAGATAAAGGTTCACAATCATCATCAACTGTACTAAATTTGTGCTTACCAGTTTCAGCTGCGCGCCAATTGTTCTCTTTTGGTTGCAGCAACTGGATGAAAAATCCAGGGTTTTGCATGACCATCACTATAAATGAGAGCATTTGTTGTTGATTCTTCTCCATACCTTTTAATTGATCTCTTACAAGTACCAGCTTACTCTGTGAGGTCTGCTCGTGCTGGTGTTGCTTCAGCTTTATCAGTTCTTGCATGAGTGTATTCTTATCAATCTTCAGAGTTTCAACTTCCTTCCTCAGTGCAGTTCTCCTATCTTCTTCAGATGCACCTGGATCAGCATCCTTCTGCTGGGAAGATTTCCTCTGCGCTTGTGCTGGAGTCTGCTTTCTTCTAACGATATTCTTCAGTAGATGCCTTTGGCCTTTAACAAACTCATCATTTGAGAACTCCCAGCGATCAGTATCAGATTTATGGAAACCCTAAGTTCAGCAGACTCTCATAAGTATGTAGATAATTTTTTTTTTTAATCAATAACAAGGTAAAACTTCAAAAGATGTCCCACAAGTCACATTTAATGACAAGAAATTAGCACTGTGTCAGTTTTCAATTTCAAGCACGCATCCACAAATGGTCTGTCCTTTTTCAAATTGTCCTTGTTGCTTCAAGAAATCAAATATAGAAACTTCAGATATTACTTCTATCCATGTTTGAAAGCAAACCATCTTTATGGACTGCAACAAGATGTTTACCATCAGATAGTGAGCTATGTGCAAATTAAAACATGCTCCTACCTTAATTGACAAGCTACCACTCATAACTAGAGATAAGCACCCTAAATGGGAACCGCCTTGCTGGTCACAGCATTTTGCAGCTTGCCAACTCTATGCACTTGAATGTCGACAAATGAACCCAGTAGTCCCTCAATGGCCAGGACAGAACATATTACTTTAGCTTCAACATCCTCAGCTTAGTTAAAGGCACAAAAGTTTGATCTTTAAATGACATTGATTGTTCAACCAGAAGCTTCTGGTCTCAACCCATTACTAAATTAAGCAGGAAAATACGTCAAGACACTCAGATCACATTACTCTCCACAATAAAATTAACACTTGATAAGGATAAACATAACATTTAGGAAGTCCTATATCTCCTTATAACACCTTGCAGAAAGAAATCAAACACCTATTCATCTAAAATATACATAGTCCAAGTAGTTCCAGAGCAACATCTAAACTTGAACAAATGGCCAGACAATGTTGCACACATTAAAAAAAAATTCTAATTGCAAACTTTGCCACAATCATTAGTTTAACTACCACAATGAAATGCATTGAACCATTATTTAGGAGTAGTTGTTGTAACTTTCTAACTTGGAAAGTCCTTTAAGATAAACTTCAGAAGAATTATCTTTCATAGCTATTCTTTTGGGGCAAGATATGATGCAACAATATTGTATTTTGTATTCTAATCCATTCACCATCTAAATAAAAGATAAAGTTCTGAATGCAGAAAGAGGGTGCCAAAATATGGCATAGAATGGATGAACCTTGAAACATTAACCCGATTCAACTTTCCAAGGACAAGGCGATCCACTATCATTGTAAACTCACACGAGATACAAGTTAGAAAAATAAATCATAAAGGACAATACAAATTCAGTTGACAAGCTCTGCTATTTTAAGGCCATGGAAGGAATAGACACAACAAGGAACAATATTCATCACATCTAAACCTCTCCAAGATGAATAATTGCATTCCAGTTACAGGAATCACAGCAACATAACAAACATGGATAATTTTTTATGCTATCATAGCATAGGATGTAGAAAAGGAGAATATTGAACCATCTCCATTAATCACCTAACTGGCAAAGAAAAGGAAAAACACTAGATTGATATGAATTCAAATTTCATGCCCATCTTTTGTTTCTAAAGCCTGTTAAGAGCTATTAATTCAATAAAATGAATGCCAGAATATGCTGTTTCCAGTTATGAGGTTAGGCAGCTAGCTATTTGTTAATCTTTATCGACCCACAAACAGGCACCTTTTTGATCGGTAATGAATTGCAGAGACAGCCGCTTGGAACGAGGTAACGGAGACTTCAGGAATCATTAAGTTTCACAAAGAACATGATCTTAGATATTCGCAAGCATGATAGCAAGAAAGGACATTCATGTCATGAAGAAACCAAATTCTTTCTGGAAACAGATTTTTTTTAACTTAATGCACATGTAAATGCATCTTACCAAAATATTTCCAGACCATCTGTATTAGGTTCTCTTTTTATAACTACTATATCATTGTAGGAAGAACAATCCACTACAATCTGCTCTCAACTTGACAGAGGCACATTTTCAACTAACATAATTCCAGAATCACCGTCTAAGTACTAGCTACTCATCAAAATCCAAAGAAAGAAACTTCAGCCACTCATATCCTAATCAACAAATTTCCAATAAACCGAAATAATAAGCTCATTTCGTAGATTATCAAGAACAAACAAACCAAAATTCAAAAAGGCATCTACGCAATTAGCACAATAAGCATAAGGAACAACATAATCCATAGGCAAATTCTCACTCGGAAAACCAAAAAATTAATGATACTTCGCAGAGATAAACTCACATATATGTTCAGTTGGCGAACGAAGCTGGAAAAATTGCTGTGCTTGAAGTGCTTTGGAAGCAATTCAGAAGAGAACCTAGAGACATCCCATATGATAAAGCTATTGCTATGTGTTTGACTCCACGAAATCAACTCATCGGTTGATTCATCGCTCACCATCTCATAAATTTTCAACAAAAATGGAGCCACTGATGAGCCATTCTCCAAAGATTTCACCATAATCCCGACTACAGAAAAACGGATAAAAAATAAACCAACAAAATCAACTTTTCTCGATGAAACTTTCACTTTTGAACAGACCCCCTTCAATTATAGCACTAAGAAGACAAACCCACTTCAATTTTGGTCCCAAAAATCAACCTTCTTCTACGGAATTCCACTTTTGTGAAATGGACCCACTCGACAATACGACCTAAGAAGAAAAACCCAGATGAATTTTGGTCTTAAAATCCAATCTTGGAAGTGGGATTCCAATAGTTTCCTCTTTTGAATCGAATTCGAGACCAAGTACCTGAATCCCTTGAATTATACTAATTTATAAGTGGGTTTAAAAGACTTGAGAAAGGGGCTAGGAATGTAGTCAGTTTGAGGTGCGCCTCTTTCAAAAGCGTGGTCCTCGCTCCACAGAAGTCTCTGGGAAAGTGAGGTCATGTATTGGAAAAGGGGAATGTACAGTGTTTTGATTGACAGAAACTCAAAAAGGGTGTAAAAGAGGGCACGGTGCAGATTCTGCTGAAGGTGCATTCTGATTGGTGCGTTAACGGGAACATTGACGGTGGAAAATATCTAAACGTAATCCGCTTTTTCTTCTTTTTTTTTAAAAGCGTGTTTCTTTGGAATTTGTCTAGCAAGTTGTTTGCAATGCAATTGGTAGATGAATAAAACTACTCTATAATTGAATCGAGCTCAACTCATGAGTTGAAAAAAAGGTCGTTCAAGTTTAATTGGTTAATTTCAATTACAAATAGTATTTTGTTTTTGATGAAATTTTAATTTTAATTCAAATTTTGTTCAATATAACTTGAAATTTACATGTCAAAAAAGGTTAAATTATTCGATAAAAAGCTCGTTTTACTACATCTTAATAAATAAGCAAAGTCAAATTTAAATATAAGTTCAACCTTATTAAAATAAATAAACAAATTTAAATACTAAAGTATTCATTGACTAGACTCCATAAAGCATAAACTCCTTAATGGGGCATTGGAATTAAGGGGTAAATTTCACTATGCCCTACATGAAACCCACCCCAAGTCGAGAGGCCTACATGAAAAAGGCCCACTTGTTGGGCTGAAGGTTATGAAGTAGCTTCAAGAACAGACACAAACAAAACAAGCATGTCAAGGGTCAAAACACTTTCGCATGCCTTATTAGCTGTAGAGCCTTTTCTGGGCTTCACCACTTAATCTAATCAAGGTTACTACAGAGATGAGTCGGGTCTGATAGTCCATTATTTGACTTGACTCAAGTAAAAATATTTGAAATCGAACCCGAACTCAATTTTGTCGAAATCTTCAAAGTGAGTTCGAGTTCAAATTTATTTTACCTTACTCGATCTCAACTTCAAACTTGACCAAATCGAACTCAATCGAACCAAATCGAGTTCAATTCAGGTTTTAAGCTTGATTTTTTAATAAATTTTATAATTTTATAATAAATAATTATAAATTATATTATAAAGGTTTTTCTAATCAGTATGCATAGGACATTTATTAACACACTTAACATTCATCTAACCTACTATGTGTATACATACACTAACAATTACTATTACTCTCCTGTATTTATATACCTTTTTCTATTTAATTTTACCTACTTTCTCTTGTATTTATTTACTTTTCCTAATTAATCTTATACTTCCAAAAATATGACACCACAATTATTACTCTCTCACATTTATATACTTTTTTTTATTTAATCTTACCTACTCTTTCTTATATTTACTTACTTTCTTTAATTAATCTTACATTTCAAAATATATAACACTTAAAATATATCTTAACGCATGTCCTATGAACATCCATCAGACATGTCCTATTATAAATATACTATTTGATAAGGCTCAATAAGTATTCGAGTTTTGATTTTTTTACTCGAACTCAACTTATCAAATTCAGTGTATCTCAATACCGAATTTGAGTCGAACTTTTTGATCGAGTTACTTGTGAATCCAAGTTGAGCAGCTTGATTAATTTACGCCCCTAATATAACAGAGATCATGTGTAATGCTCTTAACCCTTAATGTGTTGCATTATCGCGTCTCAATCCTGTTTGTAAACGGCCCATGCTGCTGCGTGCATGATCCTAATGTTTGACAATTTCTTCGGTGTGCTGTAACTAGGGGTGCAAACGAGTCAAACTCGAGTCGAGCTCGAGTTAATTTTGTGAAACTCGAACTCGAGCTCGACGAGCTCAAAATATCAAGCTCGAGCTCGAGCTCGAGTCAAATTCGAGTCGAGCTCGAGCTCGAACTCGAGCTTAAAAAATAAAAAAAAATAATTATTATTTTATTTTTAAAAAATAAAAAATAAATATTTATTTTTAAAAATAAATAAAATAATAATTTTTTTAACAAATAATAAAATATTAGGAATATATATGTAATTTTACTATTAAAATAAAAAATAAAAAAAATATATATATAATTGAACTCGCGAACCAACGAGTTTAATGTTTTTGAACTCGAGCTCGAGCTCGAGATCGACTTAATTAGCTCGAATATCGAGTTCGTATTCGAGCCGGCTCACGAGCGGCTCGATTCGCGAAACACCCTAGGTGTAAGCCTGTAACACCCTTGATAAATATGCATGTATACAATATTCTCGAGGATGTGACATCGGAAACTTCGGATTAATATCCTTATATGCCAATAGCCCCACCGTCTTCTGGGCTGAATAAAGCTAAGAGGCATTTCTGCACGTTACAAAATCTCCTGAATTCATCTTCAGTATCATGGCCAAGGAAGGAGGTCCTAAAATGAAGACAATTCTCCAGAGTGAGGCCCTCCAGAAGGTCAGTCCTCCTCTCCCATTAACACTTGAATCTAATCTTTTTTTTTACTAGTATTATTTTTCTCTGTTGTCTGTTAACCAGCTCATAAGTTTCCAAAATTTTGAGTTCTTGTGTTGAATCCCTTTTTTTTTTTTTTTTCAATTTCACTCTTCCTCTCCCTGTCTTTTTTTTGGGTGTAATTGGTTAAATATTTTTGTTATGGTCTTATATATGTTTGTTTATCTGTGTTGCTCACGAGTGAGTTCAGCAGAGACATTTTTCATCAGCTTACATGAGTCAGTTGAGTAAGTAAACTTGCAAGAAAGAGTTTATAAGGGACTGATAATATACCCGATTGCATAAAGAATTAAAGATGAACGGCCTAGATTGCTAAGATGGAAAATAAGAAGATGTCAGTTTAAAGAACGAAAGTTCCCTCTGCTTTAGAATTTTTTTTTCTTTTTGTTGTTTGGGTGTGGAAAAATCTCTTTTTTCAGAATTAAGATTCTGCCTGTTCCCAGTTGATTTAGGTTAGGAAACTGAGCTGAATTTCTTATAGATGTACTTTGATCTGGAATTAGTCAGTTGGAGTACGCTTCAGGATTAGGAAATTATGCCTTATTAGTTAATTGAGGTTGTCTTCATACGCTTTCTGTCTTGGGCTCGAATTTTGGTTGTTTCCAGTGCCATTTCAACACTGCAGTCCTGTGCTTTCTCTCAAATTGAAAAGTACCAGCTCAATTTGAGGCAAAATTCACCTATTGGTGGTGTTCCTTCAAATTCCTGAAGAAAACCTGCGAGACCAGATGATAATTTTTTTTTCTAGTACAAACCAGATGATAATTTTCAGCAAATAAGGTTTCTGGCCTGCGAGTTGTCCAATTGTGACCTAATGACTTGATTCAATCCTTGATCATGATCTTTGGGCAGCTGATTCTTAACTGCTGGCTCGAACTGCGTTGGGAGAGGCATGATTTGATTAGGCAATCTTGCCGCCTTCTCTGTAGTTTTGACAATTTTTGAAGATTTCTGGGATGGGCGTTTGAAATAAATTTGGATGCTCTGAAAACCTCCGAAGGTGATTTTTTGCCTCAGAACTGAAAACTGATTTGTGGTTGTGGGAGGGAAATTTTTCTTTTTAGAAGAATGCCTCCTATTTGGAAACTGACTTGTGGTTGTGGGAAGAGAATTATTCTTTGTAGAAAAACCCAGCCATGGAGTAGAGTTTGTTTTTGGGAAGCAAAGGGAAAAAGAAGTGCACTTACTATAAATTTGGAACTGCTTTAGAGCAACAATATTTTTTAGATTCTAAACAAAGAAAAGGTAATATTTGCATGAATAACCCCGTTGAAGGAATCTATAAATTTGATGACGACTTGAGATGAATTTGTTCACTATGCACAAGTGCCTTCTGTCCAAGCATGCATTCACTATTTAATTGCCTTGTTGATTCTGCTTATGTGCAGTACATCTTGAATACTAGCACATACCCAAGAGAGCATGAACAACTGAAGGAGCTAAGAGAAGAGACTGCCAGGAAATATGGTGCCAGGTAATGTGAACTCCTGATACTGACAGGACTTCTTAACTTCTAATTTTCAGCTCAGATACCTTCTTCTTCCAGCTCAGAAAAGTAACACAAAGGCCTTTCAGTGATTTCTTAAAGCTTTGCAAATGACTATGAAGTTTCAAAAATATGTATCTTGGAATTCCTTTCCTGTGTCATGAATTTGCAGTATAGAAACCAATAAGCTTTCCAGTTTTTAATATTGCTTCTTTGCTTTTTGGAATGATAAGTCTAGATAAAGCTGTAGAAAAGAAACTTGGTCCTGCTTCAAGCTTAAATCTACGCTGATATACCGATACCTTGAAGACAATAGGAAAGCTTTGGAGAAGTCCTTGATTTTGATCATATCTATATGATATTTTAGTCAGCTTAGTTGGTTTCCAAATTATCAAGCTTCAAATTTTCTTCAGCATTTTTGTACATATCTGACAGCTAAAAATGAAGCTACACGTTTCGCTGAAAAAAAAAAGGCTGTTATCCATTATGCGGTAAAAATAGCATTATCTTGAAGGGGAAGTAAGAAAAAGTTGCTTCTTATTGTGTGGAAGTACTCAAGGAAGATCTATATACAGTTTAACCAGTTAGGATGATTACACATTGAAGGAAAACCTGGAAGAAGAGGTAGACCAAACCAATATCGAGTTAGCCAATCATGAAGATTTGCAAGCACATGGCTGTATGAACTCTATGAGCGTAGTTTGAGAAAATGAAACTACAATGTTTATGTAGTCAACCTTGGAAACCACCTGTCTTGTCCTTTACTGATGTCCAGGACCGAAAATACCATAACGCTTAATGGAAGAAATGCTGGTAATCAGACTTTTTCATGACTTAAGATCTTTTGGCTGTTCCAATTCTGCTTCTGCTATGAAGCATGATGATTAAATTACGTTTTGCTCTTTTCTTTACTTCGTTAATAAATAAAAAGACATAAAGTACCTAGCGAGCATTCTATTGCTCCAAAAGTTCTTGATTGGTTACACTGCTAGACCAATTTATACTGATGCAGAATTGTTTGCTCCAAAATGTCAATCAGCAATTGTAGGCCTGGAACCAGATTTGATCTTGCAAAGTTGCATAGATGGGATGCATGATGCTTATTT